TTCATCCTCATTTTCTTGAAAATTATCTCCCGGTACTTTAAGGGAAACTCGACGATGCTTAATTACATCCAAACGCATCTTTTAAAATTAAAAAAATATTTTTTAAATTAATTTCTATCTTAAAAATAAAAATAGTAAAATAAAGTAAATAAAATATTTACATATTTAAGTGGGAGAAATGAATGATTTTGTGAATGAAAAGATGTTGAGGAGAAAGAGAAGAATCCTTAAATGGGTGTCCAAATAAATTATAAAAAATAAAGTTTTACTTTAAAAACATTGAAAAGATTAAATTCTCAAAGTCACTTAAAATATAAAAAAAGTTGTCTGGCTTCTTTAATAAAAAAAAGTATTCTTTTTTGCATTTTTATCTCCCTAAGGGACAAATTGTTCCCGGATATCCATTAAAGTGTTTATATATAAATAACATTATATAAAAATTGCAGAATTATTAAGAATTATTAAGCTGAATTATTAAGAATTATTAAGAATTATTGCAGAATTATTAAGCTGAATTTTATTTATGTTAATAAAATAATTTATTTTTAATATACTAATTAATGCCAGCTTTATTTATTTAAAAAATTAAAATAAAATAATCAAATTTATTAAATTATAAAATTTTTTTTCTATTTTTCAAAAAACAATAAATTATGAGAATATAACCAAAATTCTGGAATAAATTAAGCAAAAGAACCACGTACAATAAATAAAATTTGTCATCAAATTTAAAAACCATATTTTGTCCAAATTAGTAATTTAAAATTGTATATAAAATATATATTTTAAATATAATCAAAAATCAACAACATCCATTGAATTAATTGGAAGTGGACGACAAAAACATTTCTGGCCATTAATTATCTCATTAACAATAACCGAAAACTCAGTTCCTTCCTTCCAGAAACGGCGAATTTGAATCTGAAAAAAACAAAAAAATTAGAGGGAGAAATTAACATTATGGGAGAAAAAATAAAAAGGCAAGAAAAATATTTAAAATAACTAACCATATCCGCATTTACAATCTGTGCCGGAAACTGACAAGCTGGAAATTGCCAAATTGGAAAATTTTCAGGAACATCAAAAACAAGATTGTTTAAAACCAAATAGTCTTGGATATCCAGAACGTCAAAGTCTTTGATTAAAACACTGCTTTCATTTACTTTTTTTGTGATATAACCACGACGTAAACGTTTTGAACGATCATAGAAGAAAACCATTCTTTTATTATCAGGAGTTAAACATTTAGTTGGTTGTTCTTCAAGAATTTCCAAAAGATCAGAGTAATCACTAAAAAAGAAATTAATTTAGGAAGAAAATCAAGGGCAGGCCCGTAGCCAGGATTTTTTTTCGGGGGGGGGGGGGGGGGCCAAGGGGGGAAAATTTTTTCTGCGCCAAATTTTTGGCGCCGAAGCCGCCAAAAATTTTTATTTTCAGCGCCGCAGGCGAAAATTTTGAGAATTTTAGAAGGCCGTAGGCCAAAAAAATTCACTTTTTTGCCCCAGCCCTTCCCCAAATTTTTTCCTTTTTCCCATTTCGGGGGGGGGGGAATTCCCCCCCCCCTCACCCCCCTGGCTACGGGCCTGATCAAGGGTGATGTTCGTCATTTAAAAAAATGATTTTAATCAAGACATTTATTGTGAAAAGAAATTTTTCCGATTAAAAGTAAATTGTCTTTCCTAGGTGTCTGAAAATAAAAAAATTTTCGCCCAAGGTCACAAAAAAAAATTTTGCCCGAATTTAAATTAACAATTTAGTAGTATGAATGTTTTTTGTTAATACGTGTCTTATTAAAAATCAATTCCCATCAACATTTAATAGTATAAAATAAAAAAACCTCAATAAAAGTCTCAATTTCGAAGAAAGTTGGCATAATTCTAATTTAGCATCTCCATTTGAGACAACACCCAATATCTTAACTTTCAATTTATTTCCACTACGGAAACCATTAAAAGAAGCAGTAGAAATTAATTGGTTCTTTTTGACCTTCGGACAGTTACGGATATCCACAATGTAGATTTTATTTCCTAAAAATTAAATTTGAGTGAAACTGAATAAAGTTTAACCTTCAGTTAAAATTTCACAAAAATCCGAAAGAAACTCCATCAAATATCCAAGCAGCCCCATTTTTGTTTCGAGAAAAGGATGCGGCAAAATCTTATTTAATTGTTCAAATACTTCATCCAAAAGAATTTTCCCATTTGCATTTTTGTCAAAAATAGTGGAAATTTTAATTGAAATTTTGAGAAAGTCTAATTTTGAATTGAAAGTTGGCTTGTCAACAGATTTAACAGCTGCAGTGGGTTGAATTGGCAATGAGGAGGTGTTTGTTGAAGTTGATGGAACGTTATTATTACTCGTAATTGTTGAAATGGAAGAAATTTTCGGTAAAAACGTAGAAGTTCGTGACACAACCCGAGATGGCAATTTTGCAAAATAAATAGAAGGATCGATGAATTCTCCTTGAAAAAAATAATAATTGTTTAAGGAAATTTAGTCAAACCAGTTAAACATCGTCGTAATTTAACCGTATAAAGACTTGAAGATGAATCTGATTGAATAACTCTAAAGAAAGAGGAAGCTGGATATGAAGCTTTTTTGAAAGATTCTCCAACAATTCGAATATTTGGTGGACAACCCAACAATCTATTTAGCTAAGAATAAATAAAATTTACTCAAAAAATCTAAATTAAAAACCTCTTTCGACGAAAGAGCACAACCAAATTCCCTTTCGTAAAACCTTTTAAGATCATCAATTTTTGACGAAGACAAAGAGCCATCATTCAATTGGAAAAGATAAAGAAGACGAGAAAGATCAGCCTAAAATTAAGCAGATAAAATTTCAAACCCATAAACTAAAATTAAAAAAATACCTGTGGTGGATGGAATTCATTCTTTAATTTATCAATATATTTGCAAACAGAAATATTCTCTTTCTCTTCCACAGCCTCCTCAATTTCGTCAAAAAGAATATCGAACTCAGAATCATCAGAAACAAAAGATTCATCATCTTCATCGTCAAACTCATCAACAACTCCATCAACTTCAGTTTCTTCTTTTGCATCAACTAAAACAGTTCCAGATTGTTTATTAGAGTCAATAAGATTATCAAGGCTAGAAACGGATCCAACACGTGAGGAAGCATCAGTAAGAGTAGATTCATCATCCGATGCTGGTACACGAAAGTCCTCGCTGAAATTTTAAGTTAAATAAGAAATATAGGCAAGGGGGGGGACGATAAGGATTCACAAAAGTTTACTTGCGACGCAAAAAATCAAAAAAAAATCGGGACGCAAGAAAATGGATTTTGATTTTAAAAAATTGACAAAAAGTCCATAGAAACAACCGATAAATTCAAAAATAGACTAGAATAAAAAAATTAAATAAATGTTTAAAAAATTTATTTGTTAGAGCAAAGAATATAATTTAAATTAAAAAATTTGGTTAAAATAATAAAAAGAAAACTTACTCGTCAGAAATTAGCGGTTCAAATGTTTGACCAAGAATTGGTCGGCCTTTTCCCAATTTCATTGAATATTCCCTCTCTGCTTGCTCTATTTCAGTTAGATCATTAATTGAAGAATGAAGACTTATAACTCGTGGAGTAGAAGCACGTGAGAAACCTAAAATATATTTAAATCAAAAAATGTTCCTCTAAAAAATACTTGGAGGTGAACTTCGCCCATCCCTCATCCTTTCTTCTTTTCCATTAATTAAATTAGTTTTATTTCTTGATTGATGTCCAGTACCATTTTGACGCTGAGACAGTGGTGCTCGAACACCCAAATCAATTAAATTCGCATTTTCAGAAATTGGCTGTTTAACCCGCGGTTTTGATGATGGAATATATCCTCGATGATAAGGCGGGAGTAAATGTGGAGGTACTGATTGGCCGTTCTGAGGAGGAATTGGATGGCTCTGGTTAAATATTTGTGGCGGATAAATTGGTGGAGGCACTGAAGAAAGTCTAATATGAATTGGATTTTGTCGTTGATTAAGTCTAATTTTTCTTTCCCTAAAAATTAACAAACAAAAATAATTTTTAAAAAAATATTCAATACTTGTGTTCAGCAATTTCTTTATTTGATTGATCAATCAAATTCAAATTTTCGATAGTCGTTACTGTTGGAACTGGTTTAAACCGAACTAGACCACTTGGAAGTTCTTCAACTACAACATCATTTGGAAATGATTTCATTAAAGCAATTAGACCATCAACACCCTCAGAATATTCGAGAAGTTTAGCAATATTATAAACATCAGCCTGCCAATCCTCTCTAAAAATTTTAAATTTAAAGACATTCAAAAAAATAATTTTAAAATCACTTAAAGTCTTTAATAAATTCAAATATAACAGCTCCATTACTTCCATACGCAGTTAGTGAAGATTGTAAACGTTTTTGAAATTCTGCACGAATGTGCTCTTTATTTTTATCAGTCATTACATAAAAATAAAACTAAAAATTAAAAATTAATTTGTAGAATAATAGTAATTCTACAATTTTGGAAATATTTTTGCATTGAAAAGTTAACTAAACAGTACATAAGGATCAATTAATTGATTTTCTTAAAAGAATGAGAAGGAAAAATAAAATACAAAACTTAAAACAATGTAATTTGACAAGCAAAAAGCAATTATTTATTCACTGACTTAACCCAGGACCAAAGATGGGGAAACGCTCAAAACGGCGCGACCGAAACGGCGCAAACCCAAAACTTAAACCTTAATGCGAAATTTGATGTTTTAATCCGAAAACTAAAATTTATACAAATTTAAAAGCTAAAATTTTTAAATTGAAGATATACAAAATATCGGTACACCTCAATTGAGTCCGCACGATTGAGTCCCCACGATTGAGTCCGCACGATTGAGTCCCCACGATTGAGTCCCGGCACAATTGAGTCCCCACGATTGAGTCCGCACGATTGAGTCCCCTTTGTATATACCTCAATTGAGTCCCCGTGGATTTAATTATATTAAAAAGGATTAAGAGGGATATCTGGGGATTTGGGGGATTAAAGTGAACATCAGGGGACCTGTATGTGACATCGAGGGATCAAGTTGGATATCGGTGAATATTAAGAGATATAAGTAGATTTAAGCGATTAAGGGGGATATGGGTGGATATTGTGGATTTGGGGATTAGGAGGGATATCGAGAGATTTTTTGAATGACAGCTCGTTCGAATGAGCTGAGTCGAATACACAAAAATCAACATGGTTCTCGCCGAGATATGGGGCTCGAAATGGTCAAATCCACGGGGGAATTTTTGGGGACAAAAAATTCGAATATTAAATTATACCTCATTCGAAAGGGCTCGACGAGCAGAGTCGAATGACATCAAAATCAGCTTGATTCAATGATTCTGAACAAAGTTATGACCAACTGAATCTGCGCTGGAAAACTGTTTTGTGCTGCTACGGAGGGTATGTGGGGTGCAGCAGGGGTGCACAGGTCGTCTGTCCGGCATTTATATTTAAAAAATAGAAACTTTGGAATAATCCCGCATGCCGGATATGGAAATTTTAAACTTATTAAATCCACGGGGACTCAATTGAGGTATATACAAGGGGGACTCAATCGTGCGGACTCAATCGTGGGGACTCAATTGTGCCGGGACTCAATCGTGGGGACTCAATCGTGCGGACTCAATCGTGGGGACTCAATCGTGCGGACTCAGTTGAACTGCTCCGACAAAATATGGCTACGGGACTCAACCTCCGGGACTCAATGATCCCCGAAAATTTTGGCGTTTGGCGTATTTTACAAATTTGAAAATTGTCATTTGGCGCACCAGGCGAAAATTTTGGCAACATCACTACCTAAGACTCAAGTAAAGACCTGTTAAATACCAAAATCAAATAACGATCAAATTATTTGAGATTTAAAAAATCTCAAAAGATCTAATTTTTTAAAGTGATCAACAAATATTTGATGAAATAAAATGAAAAATACTTGATTTTTCGACAGCAACTGTTTTAGGTCTCAAGACCAAAGATTTACAAGACCAAGACTAATTTTTTATCCCAAAGGTCGGAACTGGAAACAAAAACCCCATAGCTTTCGGGCTACTGGAACCGAATTTTTTGACTTGCCAAGTCAATAGGTCAATACCAATACTACTTTTTCTGTCCTAGATAACTCCATCATTGGTATTGAATTAAGCTTCGAATCCGGCCGGATCCGCCTTTGTCGAGGTTCATTGTCAATTTTCGATAG